AAATCTTCATATCAATTTTAGATTTGGTGTCTTTCAATTTCTCTGACTACTACTTTCCTCTAATATTATGTGAACAGCTAAGTAGAGAGCCTGCTCTGACTTCTCTATAGTCATTGCTACTCACCATGTTTTTACTAAGTTATTTTTCATGTCCTATCTTGTTCTCTCTATTCTAAAGTAAACTGCTCCTGTCTTTTCAATCTTACTTCATATGGCTGTTTTTCCACTTCTCTAGGCACTTTTATTGCTATTTTCTGACCTCCTGCTATTTTTCCTGTAGGTTTTTTTTCAAAATAAAATAAACAGAGCTGAAAACAAGATTGCAGAGGCCACCTAATTTACAAGTAGCATTATAATACCATCAATATCAATTTATTAAAAATCCTAGCTCTAGATTTTTTTTTTTTTTTAACCATTACTACTCACTGACTAGAAGGGACTCAGAACTGCTTGGGTTTCCAAGCTGGAAGTCACAACTACAGTACATTTTATGCTATGTGCACTGTACCTAATAAAAACCTTTGAACATATTTCTCGATATCTGTGGATCTTACTGAATATAGGGGATGACATTTTTTTTTTTTTTTTTCTACTTTTTTATACTCTACAGCTTGAGTGTAATCACATGCACTGAACAAGGAACAACACTGTTTTCGATTCACTGATGTAGGTACGTGATGCCCTAGGCACTTCTCAGGTTATGTTCTTTTATTTCAAATAAGAGCCATTGACATTGAGTTATCTTTAGGACAGGCTATCTTGACTGATCTCCTGAAATACAGTTAGGTCCAGAGAAAGCATCCAAGTCCCTCTTACGAGACTAGACAGAAAAATTTACTGTTACCATTTTCACATGATAATGCACAACTGTTGTCGTCATCTTTTTGTATAGTACCAGTTCAGAATGACTGCTGTAAACATGATGGAAATATTGCCTGGAGCATAACCTCTCACAGGGGACATGTTTGTTGTCATTAGATCTTATAGTAGATCTGAGTTTGTGAGATTAATTTATTCTTCATAAAACAATCACAACACATCACTTCATAGGTACAAAATGCAGCTCTACATTGAGGTGCTTTGCCTTTAAACAAGGAGACTGCTGTACATAGTCCAGAAATAATTTCATACTCAGGGAAAACAATTGTGGAATCAAGTAAAATATTTTCCTGACTCTCTGAACTAAATACGATCACACCTCTTACGTTTAGAGGGCAGGCAGTTCTAAAACAGGCTTAAAAATTTAATCAAAGAAAGGGACTCATAAAACAGAATAAGTAATAGAATTTTTTTTAATATATAAATTCAAAATTTGTCACCTTGAGAACGCTAATTATGAAAGAACTGAGGTTCCCAGTCCAATACTTAGTCCTCTCTAAACATCTTGCTGTTGTGTTAAGCCATTTAACATAATTCTTTATATTCAGTTCTAAACACTTCGGAGCAATCTTGTGCAGAATTTGGTGTCTACCTACTTCTAGCCAGAGAAAATCAAAGAGATGGGGAGATCATAGAATCACCAAGGTCAGAAAAGACTTCCAAGATCATCCAGTCCAACCATCTATATATCACCAATATTTTACACAAAACCATGTCCCTCAATACAACATCTAAACATTTCTTGAACACCTCTGGAGTCAGTGATTCCACTACCACCCCGGACAGCTTATTCCAGTACTTGACCACTCTTTCAGAAAAGGTTTTCCTAGAGTCCAACTCGAACTTCCCCTGGCGCAATGTGAGGCCATTCCCTCTCATCCCATCACTTGATACGTGGGAGAAGAGGCCAATCTCCACCTCACCACAACCTCCTATCAGGTCCTTGTAAAAAGCAATTAAAGTCTCTCCAAAGCCTTCTCTTCTTCAGGCTGAACAATCCCAGTTTCCTCAGCTTCTCCTTTTAAAGCCTGAGAACCAGATCCCTCACCAGCTTTGAAACTTTCTATGGACATGCTCCAGGGTCCCAGTGTCTTTCTTGCAGTGAGGGGCACAAAACTGAACACAATACTCAAAGTGCAGCTTTCACCAGGGCTGAGTACACAGAGACTATCACTTTCCTGGTCCAGCTGTAACACTATTTCGGACACAAACCAGGATGCCATTGGTACTCGTGGCCACCTGGGCACATTGCTGGCTCATGTTCAGCTGAGTGCTGACCAATACCCTCAGGTACGTTTCCCCTACAGTCTTCCAGCTATTGTGCCCTAACCTTGTAGTGTCACCTGGGGTTGTTGTGGCCAAACTGCAGAACCCGGCACTTGGTCATGTTGAACTTGATCTCCCTGGCCTCAGCCCAGCTACCCAGCCTGTTCAGATTCCAGAGATGCAGCTGACCAATGGAGATTGCTTAGTGGAAACATATTGTTTCTACTCTGTGTTACCATTTCTGATGTATGAAAGTAATATCATTGCTGAGTAGGCTGACTTCTTAGAAATAAAGCGGGTGGTAAAGAGAGTCTGTGACCAAGTAGGAATGATTATAGTGATTAATACATTTGCCATAAGAGAAGAAAGAAACTGCTGCAAAGGTGGAACTAAGGTATTTTTAGGTAGATGAAAAGCTTTCTATTTGTATTTTATAAAAGAAAGCAAGAGGAAGAACAAAAACAGCTTTTTTTTCTCCAATATTCTTTGGAATTTTTTTTTCATCTGCAGACATGAAATCGTACAAAATCACCTTTAAAGTTCTTTTTGTTTCTCCCAAATTTGAAGGATCAAAGATCCAAGCACCTCCAATCACATCCTCTTGCTCTCCTTGAGAGGAAGGAGGCAGGAGAGGCACAACTGATTCCTATCGCTCCCTGGCATCACTCAAGAGACATAGCACATGTACGGAGATTGCTGCTCTCTCCTTGGATTCACGCGAGGAGCAGCACAGCTCAGGTGAGAGCTGAAATTAGATGCCTGGCTTTGTTACTGTGGTTTTTTAATTATTATTTTATTTATACTTATTTTTGCCTGTGACAACCTACATACAGCTCTCAAGTAGGTGACTGCTATATCATCTAACATTATCCTAAATAAAATAAAACTTGAAAGCAAAGAACATAACTGAAACCTGTTCATTTTTTAATGAAAATCCAAATTGCAATCTACATGTTAGCTTTGCATTTGGAAGTTAACATTGCCCAAGTACATGGATCTATGCCAACAGCTAAAGCAACATTACAACTTTTGTGGCATTCAAGCATTTCAAGCAGTTTTAAAATAAGCTAAATAAATTAAAACCTCACTCCTTTTTCATCTACGGCCAACGGTTATTAGAGAGAATTTGCTTCCTGATCAAAGAAATACAGAGGTGTTAGCAAACAGGGACTCTTTTTGGTTTTGGTAAGATTGTCAATGACAATTCTTTGATGTTATGATTGGATGAAATACAGTTTGGCTGTATTTCGCATCTATAATAGCATGTATATTTTTTCCTTCCAAAAACAGAAATCTTATAACATATTAGTTTCCATTTTCAGACAGCTTTAATATAAAAGCACACATTTTTTTCATGTCGTTTTCTTTCTGGAAATGACTAAGTGTGTCTGCTCCTGAATACTCTGTGACTTGTCTGCCAGATGCCTGATCCAGTTTCCATGGACCAAAATGAGGCTTAAACTACCACACTAAACACACACGTGCAATTTTGGCAAGCTCATGATATGAAGAGAAACAGCACTGAGCACTTTCCTACTGACCTGGGACAGAAGCTGTACTCTCCTTTATTTACGCTGTACTGTTTCAATAGCTTGCTAGAGATTGTGCTTATGCTGCCCTTCCATATTCACAGGAAAGCTTCTTCATGTTTATATATTCTACCTTCACTCTCTCACACAACAAAACTTAAGAAGCATCTGCACAACTGCCTGACTTAATCCTTTGGAGTTAGTCACTCACTCGTTAAAGACAGAGGATCCAGTCAGCTGCAGATCAGGTACGATCATTTTTCAGCTCTGGGCTTCAGGCTCTCTCCTTTACCTCCTTTGCCTCTCCTTTATGATTTATTAATCCTTTATGACTATTTCACACCAGTGGGGGAATTTCTTTTCCTCACCTTTCCCTTTTTCTCGTTCCTGAAGAGGTGGTTTATTCTCACCCAATTCCTTCCACTACAAAGCATTTAACAAGAGAGAAACTGCTACTGAGGTGTTGCTAAATCTGGGAAAAGTTCAGTATGATGCTTTAATAGTAATAAAAATTAAGTGCCAGTGCTTCTGAACACCAAATTAAGTGATATCCAGAAGCACTGTGTCAATAGAAATCATAAGAAGCATCAAAAAAAGGCAGTTTTGGTAGTTCTCTACACCTTTGCATTCTCTGCATCCTGCATTTAAATATACCTAGGAATCTGGTGACACATATATAAAAATAGATATTCCAATTAACAAATACTCCCAAGCATCAACTTCACATTCATTCTATTGCACATTATATAGGGCTAATGTTGCTGGGTTTTTTTGTTTGTTTGTTTTTGCCACTATGCTGCTTCTTTATGTTTATATACAGCATCTGGCTATATTTTGTAGAACCAGAAAATATGAGGCCAATTCATCAATGCCTTGCACCATCTGTAGTTAATCCATTTGTGTAAAGTAAATGCAAATCAAAGATCTTTCATTACAGTGTTAAACATCAAAGTTCCTAAATCAGATTTTGTAAAATTTTATTAATTTCTAAATACTAGAACACTTATATGATGACATTAAGAGGTTATCATAAGTACAGTAAATGTTTGCACATCCATAAGCAAACAGATTTAAAAGCAGTGACAAATTTCCTACCTTTCAGGACTTATCATTTGATACAGCAATGAAATTTTAGTCTCCCTTCCACAAAAAGCACAATGCACAAGAAAATCTAAACAAAGACAGAACTTTTTCAAAAATCCCAGCTCTTAAAGATGATTTTTTATAGACACAAATAGTACGTTCGAATTGAATTCAACATCAAGATCAATATTCTTACTTCCTAAGATTTCAGTATTTTCCTTGCAAAGCAAGTGCAGGAAGGCACAAGTGAGGATAGAGTCTGAATTATAGCCTTTATATAGGTTCAGTGTAATCATATGTAGTGTTAGCTCTTCAGATACATGTCAAGACACTTGGTACATTGCTAAAGATACAGCTCTTATGGGAAGAGAGAAAAGCAAAATAATTTATTTGAGTGATAGAACAGAGACAGGATCTGTTATTTCAGTGTCTACTACTCCCTTCCTTCCTAGGGCAGAAAAATCATTTCCTGATACAGAATGCCAAACTCATGTTACTCGTTGTCCACACCCCATCTTCCAATATGAAAAGATTTCTCTAGCATAATGTGACAGCATCATTAACTGCGAGAGAGACAACCAAGTTTCCCATATGGGCAGATACTGTCCTGATGGTGTGGAGTTTGAAGTCCATTTCCTGAAGACATAATCTATATCCCAAGGTATACCAAGGAACAGGATGATGAAAGCATTGACCTGGTAATTAATAAGCACATTTTATTTTTGACTCTACATAGAGACCTTGTACTACATTTCCCTGTATTTAAAATGAATATAATAAAATGCCTCCCATGCAAATCTGCTCCAAGACCATTTCAGAAAAAAAAGGTCTAGCTATTAACATTGCTAGATACAAAGTGGAGATCCTAGCCATGGACACAGTATAAATAACTAGTATGCAATGTTGCGAGCAATTGGATACCTAATTGTAAGCATTTATTGTCATTTTAAATGTCCTAAAGCCTTCTATATTGTCTCCTGCTTCAGCTCTGAAGAAAAAGGTCCTAACGTTGTATCTATCAGAATACCCTGAAGTTTTCTATACCACGGGGAAATCTAATCCATCAATAGAAGCCTATATTTAAGTGCCTACTTTGCAGCCAAATGTCGCATCATTCAAGTTCATTTTTACCAAGATAACTCCCTCTTTGTTAAAACTTCTTTTTGTTACTATGTCCTTCTTAGTGGTTATTTCTCCATATAAAAATGCAATGTATTAAGAAAAAGAACACCATTATTTTTTCTCTTCAGGTATGTAATCTTCATCAACATTAAAGGCACTGAAGCCTCTGCAGAAAGCACGCACAGAACAGACCTCCTTGAGGAGGGAGTGTATCAACACTGGTATCAACTAGTGAAGAGACATCAGTCTCCCTTTAATACAAGGACGTGGTAAGTTTTGTTTGTACTCTCTATGAAGGTAACTTCGTAATGAGCTAACAGTTCAGAAAGACAATCTCGTTGGAAAGCAACCCTCAAGGGAGATCCTACTGTTACATTACTTGTACATTATTTGTCATGGCAGTATAAACACTACTGTCAATCTGAATTCTTCACTGTAGTTTAACACATTTCTGATCTGATTTAAAAACAAACAAACAAAAAACAAAAGACAAAGTCTTTATTAAAAAAAAATAATATTATAGGTTATTTTTTACTACCTACTCCAAGAAGTGATTATGTTGTCTAAAATCATGAACTCCAACCTTCAGAGGAGAAAAGCCGAGAAAAACACTGTCTCTACCTCTCTATAGAAGAGTATAATCTACAAAGACGAGCTTTGCAGCAAATTAAATTAAATTTAAATTTAATTAAATTGGATGCACTTGGTCTGGATGATCTTACAGATCTTTTCTATGGTCCTATGACTGTCTTCATCTTCAACAGTGACTAAGACTTGTTCACAGCTATCTTTTGTGTGCACCTCCATTTTGTTAAAATAAGATAACAGTGATGACAGGGAAGAGTAGGAAAGAGTAGCTGAATAATAGTAGGAAAAAATAAAATGTACAACCAGCAACTCAAGACATATAGAAGGATTTTTTTGTCTCAGTTGTTTGTAGAGATAGAGGATCATCATAGAACACAATCACAGAGGGGCTTGGGTTGGACGGGCTTCCAACTTCTCCGTCATGAACAGGTTTATGAGTTTTAATCCTTTGCGACCAAAATCTTTTCAGTAATTTGCCAAGAACTGTATTTTACAGTATGAGAAGGAAATAAGTTATAGTCCAGACAGTAGGAGAAGAATATGCACCCCTGAACTGTAACTAGACAATAAGTTCAAAAAAACAATCACTAAGCCTTACCCAAAAGTACATTTTTGAGCTATTAACTTTTGAAAGTGGAGGCACCCATAAGTAAAACCACAGATCAGTGAGCATTTGAACAACTTCACATTCACACACAGAATATTACATTGTATGATCAACATACAAAAGATTAATGTCCCATTTTCTTTATATATACTGAGTTATTTTTGTAAACAGACAATAATGGCCAACCTAGTGAGTAATTGGTAACATGTCCCAAATGAGCAGTTGAAGATCTTGTTGCTTTGTGGCATCTCAGACTAATAACATGGCATTTGCAGCAGAGTGGCAACCCTGCAGTAACCAATCCCTTCTGCAACCAATCCCTTCAGCATGGTAAGGGGGCTGGGTGTTATGAACTGTTGTTTGAAAGGGTGATGGACTCTACCAGAATTGCAGCTGTATCATTCCGTTTAAAAAAGAGAACAAAAAAACCCAAAAAAACCTTCTGAATTTACTGAACATTTTCTTTACATATACAGGGACAGAAAAGTTGATTGTTGCTAATATACAAGTTCAGGTGTTTACTTTCATGAGAGTATTTATTCTCACATAATGCTGTTCTCCCTGAAAGTTATAAGGGAATAATCATTGTACTTTTAACTCCAATTGAGATAGGACTTTTCTTAGACATTCCATTTTAATACAGCACTGACTCAATACCTTATATAAGTATTACCAGGAAAAAAAAAAGGAAAAAAAAAATCCTACTACCTATTACAATACTAATTTCTCCTAAGCTCTATACAGGTTGCTTTTCTGAGTTTATTTTGCTCATCTGTAGTAAAGTACATTTAAATATTTAGGAAAAAAAAAAAAAAAGACAAACCCAAAAAGCAGTATTTCTTTAGCCTTGTTTTTTTCAGATATATTTATCACCAACAGCACTTCTGCATGCATACACAGGAGTTGCAGAAATTACATATTTGTTTTTTTGAGTCAGAGCAGTAAGACAGTGGTAAAACTCCATCTGGCAAGCAAGCAAAAGTTCATTTTTGTGTTTCTGTTATCGTTAAGTGTTATTCAAGATCCTCATTACGCTTGTCATCCTAGTGCAAGGTTAATTAGAATTAATAAATGCTGTACTGATCCAAAAGAAAGAAAGGGCAAATGGAGAGAAACATGCTAATTATTATCCATCCAAAGTAAAGAAACTTGACACAGGGCATGCTATGCAGATGGACCAATCTTGAGCTGAAGAGTCAAAATAATGTATTGGAAAAATTACTCTTCCTTTCGATATTGAATTTAAAAGGCATATTCTGTATCTTAATGCTCTATTTTAAAGAAAATATCAACCATAAATCTCAGCATAGAACACAAAGAGCATTTAATCCATTACTGAACTTCTTGGCAACTTATAGATATTCAATTAATTTTTATGTTTCCCTTGTTTTTCTTATCTGTTGAGGAGAAATGATTATGATTTAATCTACAATGTAAGATATTTTGAAGTTTATGGAACTTCAAAGAAAATTAGATACTGTATCCCTACCTGCTAAAGCACCACAAGAATATTAGAAAGTAAGAGTTAAGAGTGTGTTTAAGACTTTTTTTTTTTTTAAATAGTGATTGGTGTACTAATAATACAGAGATCAATCTCCCTAGGGCCCCAAATTCTCACACTTTTTCTATATACATATACACATGTATGAATACAGATCAAAACTGGGAGGCTGTTATGAGCTTAATACTTCAGAAAATAAGATTGCTTTTTAAAAATGTTCTTATGTAATCTTCCCCTTTCCACTGACAATTTATGCATGACTTTTTTGAAAAGAAAATTAAAACGAGAAGTTTCTTCTGAATCAAATACTCTCTAATCCATGGAAATATTTTCTGTTTCAGGAAAAAGAGCATAGCAAAGAGTTATTATGCTCAATTTTTTAAAGATCAATGAAGTTTACTCTAAACCAGTAGAAAATTACAGAGCCTACCTTTCTTCGCCAATACACTATCCTATTACTCTCCTGAATGGCTTCGTTTCTAAATAAGAGTTTAGTTAAAAGCTCCATGTACATATATGGTGTTGAAAATTCAAACAAAGACTTTCAAATACCTGAGATCCTTATCACTGTGCATCTCTCTGCATAAATGAATGTACTTTCTAGAAAAGTCTAATAAATTCACATTAAACTTTTAAGAGACATTGACAGCATAGTTTTGTTACCCAGCTCCTGGCTAGCACCATCATAGAACACCATTTATTTCATTTGTGTTTCTGTTGCATCCCAGAACAACCCCAGATTTGGATTGTAGAAATGTACTCTGAATTAGGAAGTTTACTGGGGAACAAAGTTGATTTAAAGAATAGCTAGAGAAGTTTTAGAGAAATGAAGAACATTCTCGTACACTGTATGAAAGCTTGACAATTTGGGGGTAAACACAGTGAAGTACAGCCACAGGCAATCAAAACCAAAATGAGTAATGGCAAAATATTTGTTTTTTTGCATTAAGATATGAACTCTCTCTTGCTTACTTGTGACTAGATACCATCTCAGTAGAAAAAACAAAGTCATGTATTTCACTAATACACTGTTTACACAGCATGCTGGAAAAGAAACTTACAATGCAACTCTTGGTAATATTTCAGGTGACACAAAGTGTTACCTCTGGAGCTTACCTGCTCTGTAAGCAATTTTTTCTGTGTTTGCCTTCAACAAAATCAGCTATGACTCAGCTTCATTGAAGTGTACACATCAAATGTCCAACAGATCTGGTATAATCAACTCCACACATTCTGTTCCTTGAAAGTTTCTAGTTTAGATTTATGACAACTCAATAATACTGATCTCTCAAACATATATTCTTTTTTTTTCTCATTTTAGACAAAATGCACTTTATGTAACCTGTCATACTGTATAACAGTCGGTGAATGACAAATATGCATTTCTACTTTAAGTAAAGGTTTGAGATCATCAACAACACATGCAATCCTGACAGATTGTTCTTCTGTGACCCTCTTCAGGGAACATATTTCAACTTCCATAAGTAACCAAGTGGAATTTTTTTTATTTATTAATGTTTGTGAGTTTGTATTTTAGGATAAACAATACAAATAAATGTTCAAGACTGTCACTGTGATATACAATTATGTTTTCATTTTTGATATTTGCAGTACTTCAAAGATAAAGTATTTCACGCAATGACACTTTTTTTAAAAAAAAAATTTTTGATAGTAAATCCAAATGTTCAGGAAAATCTTAGTAATTAGATTATTCAACAGCAGAACAATCAACTTCAGAGCCCTACAACAGGGTCTCCAGTCTTAATAATCCAATAAACCTCTACAGATTGCAGACTACATAGCGAGAAGGCTGAGATAACAAGTCACATGGCATTTTATCTTTGCATGAAATACTAGTTGGTAATAATTTCTGCCTA